CGTGTATCACTTTAATCATCCTGTCCACGATGATGCACATAATTTCGAGCCGTTCCCCTTCGAAATGTTCTTTTGCAGCGGATTGTACCTTTATTCCACTGTGGTCCTACAATGTTATTAGTAGATCTTCATTCATGTATGAGAAATTTGGAAGCGCAAAATAGCATAAAATGTACACAAGACGAGAAAACATACGAAGAATCTATAGTACAGCGTTTGTATAACATTTATTGGGGAAAACCATTTCCTATTGTAACTTTATGTTTCATACTATATTCTTAAAAATTTGAATTTGCATAAAGTTCCGTTATAAGACTAACGTAGTTTGTATTATTCTGTGGAGCCTCTGGTGTTTGATTTAGAAGAAATTAATTTCGTGCTCTGTTTTGTCTATTAGTTTTGTAAATCTACCACTTGATATCAATTTTATTCAAGGGTATTTCTTCATTGAGTGACACTCGATACTGTTAAATTACGTTAAATTGTTTCCAATTTAATCAACAGATTAAAAATTCAACTTTTTAACACGTTCCGAGCCACGTGTACCATTTGTGGTACACGCCCAATTTTTCTGAGGAAATATTTTTTGTGAAACATGTGGCAAAGAATAGCAGTACATGTTGCGAAACAGCGAAAGCGCGAAGAAATAATATCAAAATATACATAAAAGTCACCAAAAACTTGAACGTAACTTAATATTTCATTAAAAAAATCAGTGCACTCATAAGCAAGATATAACCGAAATTTCCGGTGGAACGGAATGTGTTAAGGACAAAATTAGACTAATAAAATTGACATCAAAAATGGTTTTTATGATAAGTATTCTAAAAGGCACTACAATTTTTTCCGTATTGTATGCACTTCGTACAAGTTTAAAATCTATAGGTTTAACAATCCACAGTCTATTAGTTAAGGAATAACGTCGCTTTTATCGCTTTCTATCATTTAAGTGCCGTATGAACTACGCTTTAAATAAAACACTTAAAATAGTACAGAGTCACAGAAAAGGAAATATGAAAACAATTTGGAGTTCAAAGGGTTAACGTGATTTGCGCAACTGTCTGATCGTAATTTTATTTACTAGACGCGATAATGTGTCACCGTTGAGCTGGAACTGTCAGCAATTAGACTGCTCCGATTCCAGGACGTTCGGGGTATTAATATCTCGATCCTGCGACAAATTTTCCTCGATGGCTGCCGACTAATTACTTTTACGAGCGACGCGAAGGAAATAATTAGGGCGATCAAGATACCTCGTGGAGGGTGGTGGGAGAATGAAATTTCGGGATGCTTCATCGAATTTCACGGATGAATCTCACGTGTTCAGGCTCCTTTGTCAGGATCTCGCCAGGCGTAATAATAGAAACGGTTATAATTATTGACAGCCAATTACCTGTGGCACTTTGCATCCTCGCTAAGAAGATTTCATTGAACTGAGAGAACTTGACTGTGTGCTGGTTTTTTAGAGTCACTGGAAACTTCAATAGTATTCAGTTTTATTTTGTTTTTTTCATTATTATTGTCCTTGAAGACGATGAGGAATTTTTATAGATAATTGTTGACATTGTGCAACGACGAACGGTTTTATCGGTTTATGATCACGATTGGAAATAGTAATGCGGTTATACTGGCAATGAACAAGAAATGCCATTATATAACCGTTCCTTCGTGACTTCTGTTTCGTTCTTTCTCAGACGTTTACGATTATACAGGGCGTTTACGTAATTATGAGTCAGAGCTTGCGTTGCGAATGGTGAATATATGGAAGAAATGAGAAAGTAAAGAGTTTGACTGATTTTTTAAATCAATATAACAGTGTGTATTAAGCTTAAGTTTTTAATCATGTTGAAGTTTCTATTTTGTTGAACTGGTCAGTGGAAATAGAAACTAACGATGCAATTGTAATATGACCGGAGAGATTTAATTATGGGGGAATGCCACACTACAAAGTTTTTAATGGTCTCTATAAGAGCTAAGTAATTCATTTCGGGGGAATAAAAATTACTGTTGCGTAAGATGCAGTTATTCTGTAATTAGGTTTCCGTATACTATCATTAACGTTGATTTTCGCACATTATCACCATACTACTGATTCAACTCTCCTAAAACAGTATGCATCAATGTTCAAATGTCAAAATGTCAATGTAATAAACATTTCAAACCGAAACTATTAAATATCAGAATTATTCACATTGTTTGTAACAACAATAAAATATCACTTTCTTAAGAAAAAAAGAACTTTCTTTCTGTTCTCTTTTGCATTTTATTAAACACTTGGAATTAACCCCTTGCTTTACAGTCCATTTAAAGTCAAATATGCCAGTTCTACTCAATTGTACCGTAACAATTTATGAAATATTGTCCAAGACCAATTTTGCTTAGAAAAATGGTAAATCAAGTAGTTAATAGAATCATACAACCCTTGAATATATAAGTGTCAATTATTATCGATTATAAATCAGTGAACTTTAAAAATATCTTTTACCAATTCCAGCTCCTTTCTTCTATCAATTGCAGCTGGTATGTACAGATAAATCGAAATAAATAAAATCGCAAGGTGAATTGGATTAAAATAAAGATCCAGGCCAGATTTATTACATCTCAGACTATATTTCTCATTTCCCGTTTCTTATTTGCAAAGGAAGGACTTAAACATCCTTTCCCGCTATTTATTATCAATGGTTAAGTAGTTTTATTTCTTTACTACCACACAGAAAACAATCCGTTTCGCCTCAGTCTACCCTATATAGATATTTACCTAGGCGGTGTAAAGAATGATCGTAAGCCGGGACGGCACAAAGAACTCTAATTATGCGCCGCGAGGTTTTCGGCAGAGTGAGTTTCATTATGATGTTAGTATACTCAGGCGAATGGCCTCGAGAGCCATTTGTCACGACTGTCGCAAGTTCGCCAGTTTAATGCATCCATGGCTCCGGTTCCTACCGGCATCGCCTTTGGTGCAATTTTCGAGCGACAATGCCGTTGTCCAATGGACAAAACGGTTTTGCACGTATCACGCGTGTCATCCCTGCACCTCCTGCCCTGGATAGTTTTCCGCTAATCCATATTGCTCAATAAGACGGAGACAATTACTGAACGAATGGGAAACCCATTTGTCCAATTCAAATTGGTTAGTCGGACCCGAAATATGCGGTGTGTTATACTTACGCGTGTGAATCGCAAAATGTCCTTTCTTCCTCAATGAATTGTTCTTTTGTTTAATTTGCGCCATTGATGCGGCATTGTTGAATTGTGGGAACGCTACGCGAATGACGAAAATGTTTGAACCACCGGTTTCTGTGTTTTAAATCTTCTAATGGATTATTTATATTTCTGTGGCATAGTTTATTATATTTTTAAACAAATTTGTGTAGACATAACGCAAATAAAAATTTTCTTCAGGCTAAAGTAACATTTATACAATTTGTTGATACACCTTAAATCTTTTGGTGTTCTATTTATCATATGCTCTTGATGCTTTCTATGTGCTGCACAATGCAAAGTTTGTAAAAATGTTCGGAATATATGTGAAAAATAAATTCCGAAAAACACCACACACTCAATTCAATTTTTTCAGTTTCGATGCGTGTGAGGGTTTATTGAGTTACAATCTTGAAACGCATGGAAAATATTTAGTTAAATGCTTCATTTATTCCTTATATACCGAATAATTAACTACCTTAATTGAGTGAACAACTTTGAACTGAAAATACTGAATTTGAATGAAATTGCAATTGAACTTTAACTTTTATTTGAAATTGTTATTCGTTTGCTGGTTGGAAAATATCTCGCAATCAGTAGTATCGATCTCGAGTCATTATGGATATTTCATGATGATTTCCTTGGGCAGTAAATCATTTGTGCAATGTTCCATTTGAAGACTTGATTGTGTCAGGTATCTAACCCGTGTAACATGTGTGTTACGCAACGAGTAAACCGCCCCGAATTTTTATTGATCCTGGCATATTCGCACCTATATCTCTAGATCTTGTGAAAGACTCGTTGTTTCTCTTCATCAATAAAGTGCAAAGGTAGACTATATTCGGTGTCGCACCACTGAAAGAGTTTAACCTTTTAATTCACCAAGAGACATCACTCAAGTGTAACATGTACTGATGAAGTTTACGCATGAGATAGCTTTTTGTAAACTATTTGACACCTACTCTTTTATAGTCGCTGATATTCACATATTCGTTGTAAAACATGTACTCCGATTGACAGATATTTTTATATTTTATAAATTACATTCAATACGTTGTTAGTAAACAGATAGAATGAAAAAATTGCAGGTACTTTAAATCAATTAATAGATAGTCTGCCTCAATAGAGGGAGACAAAAGCAAATCATTACTATACGTACTCCTTGTTACATTCATTTATATTATACCTCAAAACAAACACCATTATACACCCCAAAAATACAATATCCTCAAACCCCAATAAACACCTCACTAATCAATTTCACGCATTCAACTCAAAAATTTCAAAAACATTCAAGAAGTACAATTACTCACTCTGACCTACAAACATTTCGACAAAACTCACTCGCAGCTCACCGTTCGCTAATCAAGCTCCGCAATCCTGAAAAAACCATTATTTCCCCAGATATACACTATACGAACAAAAACAATTTCCGCGAAGCAAAAAGAAACGGACACGGAAAATTGGCAATTACGAGTCAGTTACGAGTCATCGTCGGTATATCAGATGACGTTCGGTGACCCTGGAGAGCGCAACCCCGGTGGCGTCTGCGGGCCGCGATAGGGTAAAGGAAAGAGAAAACGAGCGTCGGCGAAGAGTCGGTGCCGAGACGAAGACACCGAAGCGACGCGAGAGTGGGACCAAGAAGAAATAAGCACGGGAGGGAGAGAGAGAAAGAGTGAAGCCAGAGGGGGTGGTCGAGAGCGGCGTCAGTGGCGCCTCCAAGCTCACCCGTCTGGTGGGGATATCGTTGGACCAGGGGGCGGACGGACGCGACGCGACGCGCCGCGGCGAGGATCCGTCTCTCCTCAGTCGACGTCAAGCCGTCGCGACGCGTGCGTAATATCTTTCGCCGGTTTCGCGAAGCTCACGAGACTCGCGTGTCCCGCAGCACAGCGTGGCTCGGTACCGAGGCTGGTTCGGCCACCTGTTCGCTCCAGGAAGTCGCGACAGAAGGATCGGCCGCGAGAGAGGCGAACGTGGATCGTCATCCCCCGTGGCAGCCACTGGAGGACAACGCAGCCGACCAGCGTCTCGCGAATTTGCGCGTGATTACGGCCGCGATTCATCTCGCCGGGTAGACGTCGTTGTGCCGTGCCGTTCCAGGACGATATCTGTCGTGATACAACGTGCTTTTGTTTGCCCCAAGGCTAGAAACGGAGAAGTCTGTGAAACCACACGTCTGTTCTCTGCCGCGGTGTGAACGATCTGTGCCCGTGTTGGAAACACCGCGGGACTATTATCTAGGTGATTATCAGTGCGATACACACACTCCTTGGATTATGACCGTCGGGTAGGTATCCTGTTTGAACATTGTTTTTTTTGGGGAATGTCATCTTGGCTCGAGGAGCCACAGGGGTTACAGTCGTTTCGCGTTATCCGAAATGACGGCGGCGAAGTAGAATCGTCTTGCGTGGCAAGACACTGGATGTTCTTGGGGCCTTCCGGGTCTGAAGGATACTGGTGATCGTTGAATTTAGAATTGGGTTTGGAGTAAGGACACGGTTTGACACGGTGAAGCGCGGGTAAACAGAAGTTCGTTGTGATACAATGACACTCGAATTCTTGGAGCGATTGCCAAATGTTTTGAAACCTTGCTCTGGGGATTATCGGAGCTTCCGTTTGTCGGTTAACGTTTAGGTGATGTCGCGATTGATGGGGACCATGGATTTGATGATTCGATCCTTTTTTGTTTGACACGTAGTTGGTGTTGAACTAGAAGTTTCTGATTAGTGGAATTTTCTTTAATTGGTTGGTAAAGGGTTTGATGAATTTTTAGTGAATTCTGTCGATTGTAGTCTTTTCCGGGAATTAAAGAACACGTTTTGAATTAGAATGAATTTTTATATTTGGAATACAGATCTTCAGACCTTCAGAGTGTCTCTGCGGAATATTTAAGATTTATATTTGCTATAATCTGAGGTTAATGTTTCGAATTTCTATTCTAAGAAATTTCTCTTAGTTTTAATAGAATAAGCACCTCTATACGAATAAGATTCATTCATCTGAATAACAAAAAGTGCTCCAAGGATTCGGAGAACAGTGTGCAAAACGACGGTATTTCGGTCTGGCGTGCTTGAATAAGTGTTCTTGTATTGGTGATATTAATTGTCACTCGACGATGTTGCCTTCACTGCATCGCAGACTTAGCAATTACGTATTTCAAACTAAGGACAAATTAAAAAGCCACGTTTACCCTATACCAAACAGTTCTTTTCGTTTAATTTATCAAATTCATATAGCCCATTCTGCAAGATTGTAGAATTCCAAATTATACACATACCGCCCAGTCCTTTCAACATTCACGAAATAGTAATATTCAAGTAAACCATCTCTGATAATCTATTTAAAAAATTTCCTTCTCTATAGCTATACAACTAAACAGAAGTTACTTTTACGTACAGCTCACACTTGAACAGCACTACCAATTAATAACGTATCACACATACACATCGAATCAGCAAAATTTCGGGTATAACTGAAACGTTACGCAGCTATTAACACGTTTCAAAATATTCTAAAACGAAGTACGTACGATCGATCTCACCAATAACTCGTAATGATCTCCGATGCCGATTGTTTACATTGACATCGTTGGTGCCCTCCTTGCCTTGGTGACGTCGCGCGCTTTCGCAATTTGTCGCATGTCAATCGTGTATGCATCGTACGCGTGTGTGTGCTCTAGCTTTTCGATATCGATTCGCTGGCACAATGGTAATTATCGATTTGGTATCGAACGGCAGGCGGGTGTAAATGATTTCGACGGCCTTGAAGCACGATCGAACGGCACAGTTGCTCGCGTCGCGTCGCGATATACCGCTCGTTACCAGTATCGATATTATTAGATCGCGTTCGCGGCGGTCGATTCAGACGATCCCGACACAGGCGCGCGCGCGTGTCACTGCATACACATTAGAAACCACCGTGCATGCACACAGTAGTCGCGTCGCTAAAATTTATCAAGGTTTGCATCTCGTCAAACTTCGTCGTTCCGTCGTTTGTTTCGTTTGGCAGCGCAATGGGTTCGCCTCGTTAACCTTATTCTTGCACAATATTGAGCGACTGAGTAGCGTACATTATCGTTCGATGCAAAGAATTCGAGAAAACGATCGTTCCGATACATATACGACGTCGCCTGAACGATAAAGAATTGAAAATACACGCGGCCACCATTTGTGTCAACTGTTCCGCTCGCGATGATTATGCGCGCGAAGCTAGGCGAAGCTTCTTAGCACGTTCCATACCACGTGGCTTTCGCGCCCGGAGATGGCGGAAATAACAGTTTTACTGGTTCTACAGCCTTATCTTTGATGGAAAATATTCTTAGTTACTTTTGAGGCGATTTTATCGGATGCTTTCGGATGTTTACTCGTTTTTCTTTCATTTGTTTATTTGTAAAAGATTGAAATTTAAATTAATGGATTGTAATTAGAACGTTATTGTTATTGTAGCTTCGAGTGTTAGATTTATTTATGTATGTAAAATATTATTAAGATAGTTGGAACTTTACCTGACAATGACTTTTTTCGATTTTTATCGAATTCGCAAATGTTTTTGGTCAAATGTGAACGTGGCTAAATTGAAACAAAGTAGACGTATTAACGCTGAAAAAATGAAGTACTAACAAGAGTTTATTGTTAACCATAATTATTAACTAACCATAATTGTTGAATTATTTTTATAGTTTTATAATATACATACCATAGAAATTATAAGAAGTGATATATTTTACTAGCATAAAACAAAAGGTGTATACGTAATCGAGAAATCAAACATTAGAAAAGTACATAACCATTTGCGTCAACTTAACCTTTGCTCTGTGATTCATTTCACGGCTAAGCACGCGAGAGTTAATAACATTTTATCAAGAAAGGAAAGTAGAATGAAAGAAATTGTAAGTACACGCTTACTGAAAGAGATTAACAATCATAAACGCGAAATGATACTTTTATTCTTTTCATAAAAACTGCGGAATATTCGCATTTATTAAATTCCATTTAAAGTTTTTGTAATGCGTCCGACTCGATATTAAAAGACAAAGGTTAATTAAAAGCGTTGGTAAATATGTGAAATTTATGGCAGCGTTAAGTCCTTGATAATTTCATTAAAAAAAGATGATATTTAGTCGATGTAATAAATTCTTGCTGAAGTTTTAATATTGTATAGTAAAAATATAAATTTGTAGATATATATTATTTACATAATCACTTCATTCAGTTGTTGTATACAAAAATATTTTGCTAAAAATATCTGTTGCGTCTGCATCGTTGTATAATTCCGATCCAAATATAGTTTAAAAAAGTCCATAACAGAATCAATAAAAGCAGTAATTTTGTATAATGAAAAATATACGTTTCTGCTATTCCTTGTTTTCCTGATAAGCTGTAGACGTTTCATCTTCAAGCGAAAATAAGGAAAAATTTTTATACGTAGTCATGCTGAAAATATTTTACTAGAAAGTTATAAAAGTATCTGTGTTGTAAGAAAAATCTGCCAATAAATATTAAATTAAATTTCATGAAAATAAATCAAATAAAGTTCATTTTAATAAATATTCTGTAATAGTTACAATAATATTTTACATAACCAAGCATGTAAAAATAAAGTTAATATTCCATAATATACATAGTGAATGTTTTGAATAAAAATTCAAACAAGTGATATACTCTGAATGAACTAAAGTATTCATACACAATCAGGTTTGTTGATAAATACGTCATGCAAGGTTAAACTATGGACTCTCATGTTTACCGCCGCCAGGCAAATGATTTTTTTTAACATATCGTGTAAAAGCCGTTCGTATAATTATGTTCTTATACCTTTCGATTCAACTTAATTAAATCAAAAGGTATAAATTAATTCTTACTCTTCACATTCATATACAACTCGTCGAAGTAAAATTATTTATGTAACTGATATACGAAACATGCATTGCATATTTTACACTGTGTTCAAGATTTGTTTACATTATTGTGTAATCAATGATTTGTAACAATACTTTATGGTAAAGCATTTACAACAAATAATTATACAGTATTAATTTGTTTTTTATTCTTGCTTGAACATTGTGCTTCTGTAGTTTATCAGAGAAAAAAGGAAAAGGAACTACTAATATTTAAATTTGTAATTACATTTATAAACTCTTTATTTTTCAATTCACTGTTTAAAAGAGAAACATTGGAGTTTCAATAACCACTTAACAATTTTTTCCGACCGTGTCTTGTTCATAATCGTTACAGTAATTAAGATATGCAAAACAACTCAACTGGTTATAGTCGTAACTTCATCACGGAAGATAATTTCACTCATCGTTTGAACTAAATCTTATCTCCTCTCGTCTCAATATTCATTTACGTGGAAACTCGAATCCAAAAATATCGTAATATTTATATCAATACAAATTAGGTCGTGTTTACATTTCATTCTAGTCAAGCGAAATTCGATCTCGTTTATCTCAAATTGCGACTACATAAATACTCAAACTCAAAACGTAAGATACGAAGCTCAAAGTGTAACACGAATTGTTAAATAAACAGAAGACAGTTTATAAAAGAAATATTATTTACATCTCTTGCACTTCCTGTAGCCGACTTTAAATTTCGGTAACCGAAACTGGCATGCGAGTAACGAGTGCCAGATAAGAATTACGAAACACCGGCCTCGGTAGTCGACTAAAGTTGCTCAAGCGAATTAAAATCCTACAGCTTCGCATATAACATTTCTATGGAAAAGGACAAAAAATTATGTATTCAAACAATTAAAATCGTACACCTGTGTTCTATTTGAGATACAAATAGAGTCATGTATGAATAACTCGAACGATTCCTGTTCTCTTCAATGTGATAAAAATTTGTTTGCAGCAAGAGGAAGCCGTTAATTCTCGGTTCAACAATCTCGCAAATTTCTCATAGATCTTTCTTTAATTATTTTATTAATTATGTGGATCTCTTACTCACAATATTTAACATTGTATACTGTAAAATTTTGTTTCAAAGTAAAATGAATAAAGTAATATTAGTAAATTCAATGTAATACAGACAGAAAATGTTTATTTTATGCATTGCATACATAATGCAGTAATGCTCAATATAGAATGTACTACACGTACGTATATTTTTGTTAATCGACAATCATTACTTTTGAAATTACATTAATTACACGAAATTCTGGAAAACGCGGTTCTATGTAAATTAACCTTGCACTATACTCCAAAGGTTACTCTATTTGCACCATATGACAATGAAAAACACAGTTGATCATTATCCAAATTCTCTATTACATTTGAATGATTAA